AGAACCAGAGCTTGTGGACGCTCGAGTGGGTGCGGACGAAGATTCTGGAGGAGGACTTCCGTCGCCGCCAACTGAGGGGTGGAGACGACGGCAGCAGCGGCTACGGGATGCAAGGGAGCCGACGTGGCAGAGGACGTGGCTTCGGTGGTGCTGGACGCGGTGCAAAGAAAGACGACGACTCCAACGACCAACAAGGAGGTACCGGTTGGGGTCGCGGTGCGAAATCTGGACGTGGGGGCAAGTCGGGTGCTGGTGGCAAAATGAAAGGGAGTTGCTGGTATTGTGAGAAGGAAGGGCACCCCTGGTTTTTGTGCTATAAGAAACCCGATGGATGGACCCCCCAGAATCGTCACCAGGATGGCGGCGCGCGGAGGAACCAGAAAAACGGCGCCAACATGGTCGCTGATTCGTCCGACAACAACCCGAAGGGCAACGGCGGTGCGGAGAAGAAGAAGGAGCGCACCGCAGGCCAATTCTTCCATGTGGGAGACAAGGGGGAGCAAGGAGACGCCTCTGCCAAAGTTGGAGCAGAGCTGCACCCCCTAGACTATTGGGTGTTGGACACAGGCGCTGCTTGGACGATGACGCCGCGCAAGGACCTGCTGGACGAAGTACGAGCTGCACCGATCAATGAAGTGTGCTCCGCCTCTGGACACATGTTGAAGGTGGCTGGTGCGGGACGAGCTGCGTGTAGGGAGCGGATGGCAAGCCGGTGGTGCTGCACGACGTTCTCTTCGTCCCCGACCTGAAGGCCAACCTTATCTCCCTCCGTAAGCTTGGCAAGGCTGGGGTGAACACCAACACGGATGGGGCACGCACTTATAAGGGGAAGCTGGGCAATCGGGTGCTTTGGGATCTGCACGAGAGCAAGGACGTGTACAGATCTATGTGGCAGCTGCCGGCCCTGGCGTGGCATGGTGGGGGGCAGGCTGGAGAGGGGTCTGCATCCCAGGGGGAGTGCAATGCCGTTGGAGGGGTTGGTGTGAAAGTGTCGGCCAGATCTGGGGAGACAGATTGGGCAACGGCACACCGACGCTTAGGGCATGTGGCAATGCCTTTGCTGAAGCAGCTGGAGAAGGATGGAGCCGTTAAGGGTCTGAAGCTGAACGGACAGCCACCCGATGACAACTGTGAAATCTGTTTGCTTTCAAAGTTCACCCGTTTCCCTTTCCATAGTGTGGCTGGCAGGAGCAAGAAGCCTTTGGAGCTGGTCCACATGGACTTGGTGGGGCCGCTGCCGGTGCAAGGGCACAAGGGGGAGCGGTATTTTCTTACAATTGTGGATGACTGGAGCAGGCTGATGTGGGCGTATCCGCTGAAGCAGAAGGACCACGCCGCCTCCACGATACGGGACGATTGGCTGCCATTCGTGGAGAAGCAGGCGGAGTGTGTAGTGAAGCGGATTAGGACAGACCGGGGTGGTGAGTTCCTTGGAGCTGAAATGACGGCCTGGCTCAAGAAGCAGGGCATCCAGAGAGAGCTGACCACGGCTTATACCCCACAGTCCAATGGTGTAGCAGAACGGGCAAACCGGACCATTCTGGAGACAGCTAGGGCGCTGCTCATAGAATCTGGGCTGAGCAATTCTATGTGGCCTCATGCTGTCCGGCACGCCACTGTCGCTAGGAACAGGGTGCTCACTAAGGTTGGGGATGACTCGTGGGTGCCGTTGGAGAGGTGGCTTGGGAGGAAGCCGCCGGTGGACATGCTGAGGGTGTTCGGTTGCATGGCAGTCGCCCACGTCCCCAAGACCTACCGCAATGCAGCTGTTAGTGGGAAATTCATCATTCAGATGGATATTTCAACGGCATTTCTGAATGGGATTTTAGAGGAGGATGTGTACATGACGCAGCCGCCTGGGTATGAGGATGGTACGGGCAGGGTGTGCAAGCTCAACAAGTCCATCTACGGCTTGAAGCAGGCGCCACGCTGCTGGTACCAGAAGTTGGCAGCTGTTTTAGAGGAGATGGGATTCAGGACCAGCAGCTGTGATGAGAGCCTCTTTCTCAAGGGCGAGGGGGAGAAGCTGGTGCTGTTTCTGGTCTATGTGGACGACATTCTTCTCTTCAGCAGCAGCATGAAGGAGATCCAGAAAGTGCAGCAGCAACTGATGGAAAACTTCAAGTGCAAGAACCTTGGGGAGGTAAAGTACTACCTCGGGATGCACGTGGAGAGGGATCCAGATCACAGGTGGTTGAAGCTGCACCAGGAGAAGTTCATCAAGGAGCTGGGGGAGAAGTATGGGATTGAGAATGAGCGCAAGGTTGCAACTCCCCTGCCAGCAGAATTCAAGCTTGTGAAGGCTGCAGAGGATGAAGGGGTTGAAGCTGAAGAGCAGCAGCAATTTCAGTCCTTGGTGGGCAGCCTCTTGTACGCAGCAGTTCACACGAGGCCCGACATCTCTTTCTCGGTTGGGCAGCTGGCTAGGGTGGTGCAGAATCCATCAGAGGAGCAGGTGGATGCAGCTGAGCGTGTGGTGAAGTACCTGAACTCTCACCCAAGCATTGGAGTTCAATACTCCGCATCTGCACAGGTGAAGCAGAAAGGGGTGGAGGTGCTGAAAGAGAAGGGGGAGAGGCTTGGAGAAGGCAAGCTATTTCTCACTTGCTTTACCGATGCTACGTGGGCTTCTGAGAAGGAGGATTCCTCATCTGTGGGAGGATACATCTGCGTAGTTGGGGGAGGACCTGTTAGTTGGAGATCCAAGAAGCAGACGGAGACGGCACTCTCTTCCGTAGAATCAGAGTACATGGCGATGTTCCATGGGGTGAAGGAGGTGATTTGGCTGAGGAGGCTGTTAGAGGAGATTGGCCAGGAGCAGAAAGTTGCTACGCCGCTGTTTTGTGATAGCAAGGGGGCTCTTGGGATGGCCAGAAACGCTGTGCTTCATGGGCTGAACAAGCACATGCGTATCAAGTGGCACTGGCTGCGTAAGGAGGTGAAGAGGGGGACGGTGCATCCGATCTACATCAAGACTCACCAGCAGCCAGCAGACTTTCTCACCAAGAGGCTTGCGGATGAGCCTCATTGGCGTTGTGTGCGCATGAGTGGAATGAGCATGAACTAGCATGGAATGACGGGGATGCAGCCGGCAGGCTGAGGGGGAGTGTGTTGGGTGCAAATGCACATTGCAGGACATCCTGCCGTCTGTTTGTACGAGTATGCGTGTGCGAATGCATTTGCGTGTGAATGGTGTGTTCGTGTGTTTGTTTGCTTTCGCATTTTTCGCTTGATGCATTTGCAGGTACTCGCGCAATGTGCGCTTCGGCACAACATTGTACGCACTATGAACAGTGCAAGCAGAAAGGACGAGCTCACAAAGGAACCCAAGATGGAAGCTTGGAGTTCGGTTGAGTTGATTGCGCAGATTCAGTTCTATCCAACTCGAAATTGTACTGTTTTGTTAACTATAGTGTAGCAGGGAAGGCACTATAGGGGTACAATTTAGGTGAAGGTTGGATGTTGTTTGTCTGTATCTGCATGCTACAAGGCCAGGGGAAACCAGCGGAACCAACATTTGGCTGGTTGGGCAAAGACAAAACAGGTTCTGTTTTTAGAACCTGAACCTGGTTGTTGTTTTCCCAGGTTGGAAAAACAGAACCAGAGGTTGTTTACCAACCTACCACCTGCTATTTTGTCCAGCCAGGTTGGTTCTGTTGCTTGGAATTATTTGGGATCATCCCTGGTTGTTCCCAGGTTGATTCCCAAGGGCCTTGCTAGCTAGAACTATTTAATCCTTCTCTGTTTGTACCTGAATATAGTCAATTGATTCATGCGAATTCCTTCCTCGCTGGAATTTCGTCTGAGCCATAACTTCGTAATGGCAGAACTTTTCGCGAGGCAACTTGGCTCATTTCAAAGCTCTTGGAGCGAGCTTCGATATAGCGAATTCTCAGCTTAATCTGACCGACGGTCTGCACGGCACGCTGCGCGACGTTCAAGGTACTCTTGCTGTTTTGACTAAGTCCTTCTTGATCCCTCTCTCTACAAACTCGGACCCGAGGATAGGGGCTGGTCTTGTACCAGGCACCCAGGGACCCTTGGAGGTGACCCCGAGGAGAGGTTTTAAGTTTGATTAAGTCCTAATAGCTTGAGTTTATTAGGCCCTTACCATCTAAGAGAGTCTAGTTTATTAGGACTTTCTTCTTTGATACCATCTAAACTAGATATAAAGGAAGGTAATACTCCCTAGGTTTGACTCGAACCAACAACCAAATGGATAGTGTAAATCCTTCACTTAGAATAAACAATCGATTCTACATGACTATTTTTTCTAGGAAAGACTTCCCTCCGAACCGTGCTTGCAAGATTTCCAAGCACACGGCTCTTTTCAATTATTTATTTAAAAAAAAAAAAAAAAAAACTGATTGTTTCCTTTCCAACTGATTGAGTCAATTACCTTTCTGGAGGCATCCGCTAGTTGGTGTGTTGGTGTGTGTGGGGGACCGACTGCTCCACAATTTTACAGATATCTTCCCACCTTTTTGGGACGCCTAAAAAGACCGACTGTTCCGGTATGCCACTTATATCTTCCCATCCTCCCTATCCATTTTCCGTACTCCCCATCTTTCTCCTTGCCTCCCCTCCCATCCTCTCACCCCGCCCATGCACTCCTGCCGCCTATCCTGTCAGCATCAGACAGGCAGCCGCCCTCCTCTAAGCACCATTCTCCGACACGAGAGGAGATGCTGAGCGGACTTTTGAGTCGACTCAAAAGTCATCCTGCCGCCCATCCTGTCAGCATCAGGCAGGCAGCCGCGTTCCTTCCTCTAAGCACCATTCTCCGACACGAGAAGAGGTGCTGAGCGGTGCTGCTGTGAAGTGAAGGATGCTCACAGTGGTGTGAGGAGGTTCAGAGATCCACAGAATGTTTCTTCAGAAGGAAGGGCCGCCACCTGTCACGGCAGCAGCAGTGTGTCCTTGTGCTCAACGCCTCCTCTCGTCTTCCCCTTTCTTTTCAAGGTTGAATCTGAGAACTCTCAAAATCCACCTCCAAAGAAATGTCCCCTCAAAAGGAAGGGCCCCTGTCAGTCACAGCAACAGTGGGTCTTTGTGCTCAACACCTCCTCTCGTCTTCCCCTTTCCCCCCTCCTCCCAGCCTTCTAGCAGCAGTGAATAATCGTCGCGGTGAATTCGCCTCTGCAATCCGCCACCAGGCAGCCGAAGCCTCCATGCTCTCTTCCCTACTTTCTTCGCCTTTTCCCAAGCACGACTTCTCCCCCTCTACCTCGCCAATGCGCATCTCACCACTGTGGGCCTCATTCTCTCCTCTGGCCTGCTGAAAGAGGGGGCGAGGGGGGGCCTGGGGGAGTGGGGGGATGAGGAGGCGGAGAATGTGGAAGGCAACAGCAGCGAGCAGAGAGGGGAAGGTGTGGGGCGAGGAGTCGGGGGAGGAGATAAGGGAGGAGTGGAAAAGGGGGAATGGAGGGACCAGGCAGAGGATATGGCAGTGTTGGCTTTCGAAGCATTGAAGGAGAGTGCAGCGATCCAGAAAAGGGAGCTGGGGAAGGATCACCCTGCTGTGGCCAAGACTCATGCGCTCGCTGCTGATGTGTACTGGCAGATAGGGCAGACGGAGGAGGCTGAGGTAGGGTGAGGTGTGGTGCGGTGAGGCACGGTGAGGTGCGGTGAGGTGGGGCAAAGTAGTAAGCAAGATGCCTGTTGTGGCGAGGACGTATGCCTTCTCTGCTGATGTGTAGGTGTAGCTGTATGCCTGGCGGGAGGGGTTTGATGTAACACTGAGGGTTATGTGTGAAGCAAACAGGTGCGCTTCCCACCTTTGCTGCTTCTCATCACCCTCTCCACCTTCCACTTAAAAAAAAAAATATAAATAAATACACTTCCCTCTACCACCCCATCATCTCATTACACATCACCCCCCCATCGCATCTTCTCCGGCCCCCATCCCACTGCCCTTCATCCCACATCAGAAAATGAGCAACAGGGCAATGAGAGTGATTGAATCCCTGCCAAAACCCTACAAGCGCAGCGACGAGGAAGCAGCAGCGCTCTCCCTGCTGGCCAACCTATTGCAGCGCACCGGCCGCTCAGCCATGGCGTTGCCTCTCTTAGAGAGAGCGCTGAGCATCAGAAAGAAAGACCCCTTCGATTTTCTCAAGTCCGTGGGTGAGTTTTGTCTAAGATGCAATGGTTGAGAGAGCGCTGTGCATCATTGCTGTTGCAGGATGTTTTCGAGAGAGAGAGAGAGAGAGAGAGAGAGAGAGAGAGAGAGAGAGAGAGAGAGAGAGAGAGAGAGAGAGAGAGAGAGAGAGAGAGAGAGAGAGAGAGAGAGAGAGAGAGAAAAAAAAAAAAAAAAGATAGAAAAAAAAATCTCAATAATCGGTTGCAGAGGCATTGCTGTGGCACCACTGAGAAGCCCTGAGCGTCAGAAAGGGGCATTGGCTGCAAGCTGTGGGTGAGCTTCTGGGATAGGGGACAGGGGAGTTATTGCGAAAAGGGGCTGAGTGGCTGATTGAGCCACGTGACTTACGCGCGCCATGTGGCTGTGCCTCTCTTACAAAGAGCGCCATGTGGCTGTGCCTCTCTTACAAAGAGCGCCATGTGGCTGTGCCTCTCTTACAAAGAGCGCTACACATGAGAAGGTAGTATTCGGGTGTCAAATATTATAGCCTGTAGTGGGTTGGGCTATATGGGGTACAACTAGTTAGGGTTAGGTTATGTACCCCAATTCTGTCAATGCAACACATTCCGCTGTAGTTCTCATTCAGACATGGTATCAGCAGTAGGTTAGCGCTCCTAGCCCTAGGCCCGCCCGTCCCTACCATTAGGGTTACCACTGCGCCCGCCCTTAGCCAGCGCGCACGCCAGCCAGCCAGCGCGCCAGCCAGCCAGCGCGCCAGCCAGCCAGCGCGCCAGCCAGCCAGCGCGCCTGCCAACCAGCGCGCTAGCCCGCCAGCCAACCAGCGCGCCAGTGCGCTAGCGCGCCGGCCAGCCTGCGCGCCAGCCCGCTTGCACGCCAGCCCGCAGCGCGCCCGCCAGCGGGCACACCAGCGAGCCCGCCAGCTCGCCTGCCAGCGCGCCCGCCAGCGAGCCCGCCAGCGCGCCCACCAGCACGCACGCCAGCGCGCCCGCTAGCGCGCCCGCCAGCGCCCCGCGCCAGCGGGCCCCGCCGGCGCGCACGCCAGCGCGCCGCGCCTGCCAGCGCGCGCCCTGCCTAGCCGCCCGCCAGCGCGCCGCGCCCGCGCGCCACGCCAGCCAGCGCGCCCCGCCGCCCCGTGCCCAGCCAGAACGCGCCCCGCCTGCGCGCACCCGCCTCGCACTCACCTCCCTCTCCTCCTCCTCTCGCGGCTGGCGGCCGCTATCACTTGTTCTCGCCCCTCATGGCGACGTCTCGCGTGCTCCGTTTCGACCCTGAGGGGCGCGCGATCGACTTTAGTACCTGGCTGACGCAGGCCCAGCGCCACCTTAGGAGCCAGCGCCAGGATGGCGTGCACCTGTTTGCGCATGCGTCCGGTGCTCTGCCCGCCCCGCCGCAGCCTACACCGCTGCCCACTACCCCACCGCCTACTTCCGAGCAGGAGGCTGAGTACCAGCGCCGGTTCCTCGCTCGTGACGTGTGGGAGTCTCGTGACGCTGCTGCCTGCCTCGCCCTGACCGACCTTCTCCCGCCGACTGAGGCCGTCCACTTCACTCAGGTCGAGTCTGCTGCAGCCCTTTACACTGCTATTGTTGCTCGCTACTCCACTCCCTCCTCTGCCTCCCTCAGCCGCCTTCTCGTCCCCTTTATCTACCCTGACCTCGCCTCCTTTGAGACTGTCGCTGACCTCGCTACCCACCTGCGCTCCCTTGAAGCTCGCTTCAAGGCCGCTTGCACTGAGGAACAGCTTGCCCTTGCACCCCCCCCCATGTGGCTCACTATTCACTGGTTAGTCACTCGCCTCCCTGACCGTCTAGCCACAGCCCGCGACGCGCTTCTCCTGAAGCACCCCACTGAGCTTACTATCGATCTTCTTGAGACCGCTCTCTCGAAGATCGAGAGTAACCTCCTCGCTGTTGCCTCCGCCTCTTCCGCGCCTCCTCCTCGTCTCTTTGAGGGGTGTGCGGTACCACAGCTTCCCACCTTCACTGCCTCGCTTGCCACTGCCGCGTCTTCTGCCTCTGAGGAGACGGCGGCCGTTTCTGTCTCTGGCGGACAGAAACGTGGCAAGTCCGGCAAGAAGGGAGGGAAGGGCGGCGGGGGTTCTGGGGGTGTTGCGGGTGGCGGCGGTGGCGGTAGTACTAGTGGCGGGGGTGGCGGCGGGGGTGACTCGGGACCTGACGGCTCTCCTCTAGACGGTGGTGAGGGGTTTCCGCAGCAGCAGCAGCAGACTCCTCCGCAGCTGCCACCGCCTGGACAGCAGCAGCGGCAGGGACAGCAGCAGCAGCGCCAGGGCCAGCAGCAGCGTCCGCCTCAGCAGCAGCCCCAGCAGTGGGGCACTCAGCAGCAGTGGGGCACTCAGCAGCAGTGGGGTCCTTCGCAGCAGTGGGGCCCCCCGCAGCAGTGGAGACCTACGGGCCCCCCGAGCACTGGGCGCAGTGGTGCCCCTTCTAGTCGGGGACCCCGCTCGGCCGGCCGCGACGTTGGTCCCTGTGAGTACTGGATCCTGACGGGTCCGCGCAGGGGCACGTACTGCGGCCGCCCTGACCACTCTGCTGCACGCTGCTTCAGCCGTCTCGATTACCTGTACGTCCTGCACCACGGCCCCTCCGCTCCCCCGCCACCGCGCTGGGGACCACTCCTTGCTCGTGGTGTTGCGGTGTTTGATATGTCTATGGATGATGCTAGGTCTTATGCGATGTATGCTGATGTTGACTATAGTGCTGCTGGATCTGTTTACTTGCCTGTACCTAGCGTAGGATCTTTGCCTGTTGCTAGAGTAGGTGCTGGTGTAGGATCCTGTCTAGCTACTAGTACAGGTGCTCCCTCGGCGGACGCGTCGCTCTCCTTCACACTGGACTCCGGAGCGACGCAGTGCTTCTTCCGCGACAGCACGACTCTTACTCCACTCTCGGCGCCGGTTCCTGTAGCACTGGCTGATCCCTCTTCGGGACCGGTCATTGCGACTCACGCCACTACCCTCCCGTGCCCAGCTGCCCCTTCCGGTTCTCTGACCGGCCTCCACGTTCCTACTTAACCTAGGAACCTGGTTGGTGTGGCTCCTCTGGCGAGACAGCACGTCGGGGTCTGGTTTGAGCCTTCTGGTGACACTGCAGTCTGTGTGGACGGTGACACGTACGCCCCTCTGGCCACTTTTCGTCAGGAGTTGGGCTCTGGTCTGTACACCCTCCACACCGACACCCGTCCGGTTCCCCCGTCCCACCAGGTAGCCAGGTCCAGTCAGGTAGCTGTGCCAGGTCTAGTGGCTGCGTCGTGCTCGTGTCGGTCGCTGTCCCACCCTGTCCTCCTCTGGCACCACCGCCTTGGTCACCCGTCCCTCTCTCGTCTCCGCGCTATGTCCAGTCAGCGTCTTGTCTTAGGCCTCCCCCGCGACCTCCCGCCGCTCCCGCCGTCCCCCGCTCCTCCGTGCGGTCCTTGTGTCCAGGGTCGGCTGCGCGCCACTCCTCACTCCTCCTCCCTTCGTCCAGCCTCCGAGCCCTTTGAGACACTCCACTTAGACGTCTGGGGCCCCGCTTCCCGGCTTGGCCCTGAGCGAGAGAGCTTCTTTCTAGTGGTCGTTGACGACTACTCTCGGTACACCACCGTGTTCCCTTTGGCGAAGAAGTCCGACGTGACTTCTACGCTGATCCGGTGGCTGCTCGCCACCGAGAGTACTCGTCGTCGTCGTGTCAGTTGTCTCCACTCCGACCGTGGGGGTGAGTTTCGCTCCGGCGTTCTCGCCAGATTCTGTGCTGAGCAGGGCATCACCCAGTCCTGGACTCTTCCAGACTCTCCACAGCAGAATGGGGTTGCTGAGCGCCGGCTAGGCCTGGTCATGGAGATTGCCCGCACCTCCATGATCCACGCCCGCGCGCCCCATTTTCTGTGGCCCTACGCGGCTCGGTACGCCGCTCACCAGCTGAACCTCTGGCCTCGCGTCTCTCGGCCAGGGGCTTCACCGACCAGTCTTTGGACAGGGTCCCCTGGTGTTGCGTCGAGGTTTAGTGTCTGGGGCTGCTTGGCGCTTGTCCGCGACACCTCTGCGGACAAGCTCTCACCTCGCGGCGTCCCCTGTGTCTTCCTTGGTTTCCCTGAGGCCTCCTCTGACTTCACCTTTTACCACCCTCCCTCCCACCGGTTCTTTGACTCTCGTGACGTCCGTTTCGACGAGTCTGTCCCCCACAGTCGTCCTCACAGCCTCCGCAGCAGCCGTCAGCGCTTCCTTTACCGGCCACTGCGGACTCTGAGGGTGTTGGTGCTCGGGGTGAGGGCTCTGGCGGTGCTCGCTCTGGGGGTGCTGGCGTTGGAGCTGTTAGTGCACCTACAGGAGCCGCCCGTTCTGGGGGTGTTGGCGTTGGCGCTGAGCGTGCACCCGCCGCGGCTGCCCGTTCTGGTGGTGCTGGAGCTGGTGGTGTTTCTGGAGCTGGAGAGTCTGAGGCTGGTGCTGGTGCCACTGGAGGCACCCCGACTGGGGGTGCGGGTCCACCTCCTACAGGTACTAGTCGTGCTGCCGCAGGGGGTACACGCTCTGGGGGTTCTCAGCCGGGTGCTGTTGAGGGTGGAGCCGGTTCTTCTTCTTCGTCTCCTGACACCACTCCTCCTCCTCACCCCTACCTGACTCGACACCAGACCCGTCTTCGTCTTGAGCGTGAGGAGCAGCAGCGTTTGGAGCGTGAGAGGTTGGAGGTTCAGCAGCGGGTGGAGCGTGAGAGGCTGGAGTTGCAGCGGGAGCAGCAGCAGCAGCAGCAGCAGCAGCCGCCGCAGCAGCCGGAGCAGCCTCCGGCCTCTGTTACTGGCCTTCGGGCCCTTGGTCTCCCCTCCTCCTCTCCTCCTGTGTTCGGTCCGACGTTTCCTCCTCCGGACTCAGCTCCGGCTGTGTTCCCTCGTTCTCAGTCTCCTCCGTCTCCCGCTCCGTCTCCCACTCCTCTCTCCCACACTTGGGCCTCTCGTCCTCCTCGTGCTCGTCCCTCGTCACCTGTCCGTGACCTTCGTACCGTGTTGTTTCGTCCTAGTCCTCCTCGTTCTCCTCCGTCTGTTCTTCCTCGTCCTCCTGAGTCGTCCCTCACTGCCTCCCTGTCTACTCCGGTCACTGACTACTACCGCACGTACCGCCCCACTCTCTCTCGTGTTCTCGCCTCTCTTGTTACAGACCCTCGTGCCTCTCCTTCCTCCGTCGCGGTCCTCACTGCCGCTGTCACAGACTTTACTGCTACGCGTCGCCTTGACTACGCCACTCGCGTTGTGGCGGCTCCTCCTGTCCGTCCTCTGTCCGCCAGGGGTGAGTTTGCCCTTGGCTGTGCCGTCCTAGAGGATAGACAGTTTGAGCTAGAGTTCCTGGCAGCCGCTTCACCTCATCTCTGTGCCATGCTGCTCGCTCCTGAGGGAGACCCCGACGCTCCTGACATACCTACTCCTCGCACTTACGCTGAGGCAGTGTCAGGGCCTTGGGCCTCTTAGTGGAGAGCTGCCATGGACGCAGAGATGGCCTCCTACAGGTCCACAGGCACTTACGTTGACGAGGTTCCCCCCCCAGGGGCGAACATTGTTGACGGCATGTGGATCTTCAAGGTGAAGCGGCCGCCGGGATCTCCTCCAGTCTTCAAGGCACGCTACGTGGCTAGAGGTTTCAGTCAGCGTGAGGGAGTTGACTTCTTTCAGACCTTTGCGCCCACCCCGAAGATGACCACTCTTCGGGTGTTACTGCACGTAGCAGCGCAGAGAGACTACGAGCTACACTCTCTCGACTTCTCCACTGCCTTCTTGCAGGGCAGCCTACACGAGGAGATCTGGCTGCGTCGTCCTCCGGGCTTCACTGGCACTTTCCCGCCTGGGACCCAGTGGAGCCTCAGACGACCGGTCTACGGTCTCCGCCAGGCACCCCGTGAGTGGCACGACACTCTCCGCTCTACTCTGTCCGACCTTGGGTTTGAGCCGTCTTCCGCCGACCCGTCGCTGTTTGTTCGTCGTGGGCGCACACCTTTCTTTGTTCTTGTCTACGTTGACGACCTGGTTTTTGCCACAGCCGACACAGTTGCACTGGCGGAGGTGAAGTCCGAACTGCAGAAGAGACACACCTGCACTGACCTTGGGGAACTGCGCCGCTACCTTGGCCTGCAGATCTCCAGGGACAGAGCCGCTCGCACCATCACCCTGACTCAGTCACACATGGTGCAGCAGGTCCTTCAGCGGTTCGGGCTTCAGCACTCCTCTCCTCCTCCCACCCCTCTTGCTGTAGACCACAGACTCACTGGGCCTTTTCCTGACGAGCCGTTCGAGCCCAGTGGTCCCTACGCAGAGTTGGTGGGCTGCCTCATGTACCTGATGACGTGCACTTGCCCGGACCTCGCCTTCCCTCTTAGCATCCTTTCTCGCTTTGTTGCGACAGGGAGACACCGTCCTGTTCACTGGGCGGCGGCTAAGAGGGTGGCGAAGTACCTCGGCGCGACATCAGACATGGGGCTTGTACTTGGAGGGACACAGCCAGTTGTACTCACCGGTCACTGCGACTCCTCCTACGCCGACGACGTTGAGTCACAGAGGTCTACACAGGGTTACTGTTTCAGCCTGGGCTCTGGAGCTGTTTCGTGGAGGTCTACTCGGTCCTCCTCTGTTGCGACTTCTACCGCAGAGGCCGAGATCTACGCTGGAGCCCTCGCTGCACAGGAGCTACGCTGGTTGACCTTCTTGCTCACTGACCTTGGTGAGCGGCCGAGCTCTGCACCGACCTTGTTTGCTGACAACAAGGCGATGATTCTCCTGTGTCGTGAGCCTCGACTGGAGAGCAGAGTGAAGCACATCGACGTCAGGTACTTCCTCCTTCGAGAGTTGCAGAGACGCGGGCAGGCTCGTCTGGAGTTTGTGGCCTCCGAGGCCAACACTGCAGACATCTTCACCAAGGCCCTCCAGCCTTGTGACCACCGCCGGTTTTGTCTGCAGTTAGGCCTCGTTGAGACTGGGTCTAGTTGACTGCTGTAGGGTGCTCTTTGTCTGTTGCTTGCTTGTACCTCATATATATTTGTTTGCACACTTTTGGACTGGCCTTGTGGCCCTTTGCTTGTGCTCAGATTAGGTGGTGACGTTGTGATCCACCCTGAGCTTTGTTTTCTTTCTCTTGCTTTTGACTGGTCTTGTGACCGTAGGTTGCTTGTTGTTGATTGGCCTTCCCCACTTAGGCTATGGGGGTGTGTCAAATATTATAGCCTGTAGTGGGTTGGGCTATATGGGGTACAACTAGTTAGGGTTAGGTTATGTACCCCAATTCTGTCAATGCAACACATTCCGCTATAGTTTTCATTCAGACATCGGGCCACTTATTACAATAGGTTTGTCACCCAGTTGCAAGGGTTGGTAGAATAGGGGACATTCTAGGTCAAATTGGAAAGAAGGCTTACTCGTCCTTCCCTCCTCCCTTCGCCCCTCCCCTCCTCCCCTCCTCCCCCTTTTCCTTTCCATCATAAAAAAGCCACAAAAGAACTTTTGGAATTTCCCATGAAAAGATTCCCGAAATTTCCTCCTTTCTGCACATGAAAATATTTCCAAATTTTCCTTCTTATTCTGCTCGTTGTCCTTCCCTCTCTGTTCATTGCTTCTGTGGACTTCAAATTTCAATTGCGTCACCTGTCCTGCATTGCTGGTGAGTTTTGAGAATTGAGAATTCTCAAAAACTCACCTCCAACAACAAGGACTTTAAAACTCCAATTGTGTCACCCGCATGCAATGCTTTCCGACTTAGCCATTCCCAATCCCAGAAACAGCGGCAGATCTCGCTGCTCTCCTTCTCACCCACCGCGGTCCCCACGAGGCCCTCCCCATGCTGCTCGACGCATACCGCACCCTGCAGTCCTTCCCAGGCTCCTCCCACTCCGACTTGCTCCGCGTCTTCTCCCTCCTCTCCGCTACTCACGCCTCTCTCGACCAATGGGACGATGCTGCAAGAGTGGTGGGGGAGATGTGGGAGGTGGTGAGAGGGGAGGGGACGGAGGGAGTTTCGGGGGACGCTAAGATTGCGGATCAGGCAAAGATTTGCATGTGGTTGCCCCTGGCAAACGCGTTGGGGAGTGAGAAGAGGTAAGTAGGAGTCAGGCGCGGTGCAGTAATGTGAGGAGGAGAGGCAAGGAAGGATATAGCTTTTCTTCTTCAAGGTACTTAGTTCAGTTGACATCACTCCTATTCATGATCCTGTTTTGCTACTGTGTGCCGCTTTCGCATCGCAATAATTCGGTGCAAAATTGTGTGCAAGGACCTATAGTCGAGTAGATCGTATCAAAGCATAAGAAAATGACAAGACAATGATTGGATTTAATCTATAAGATGTGAAATTGCAGCTTTCAGATTTTGCTTTTCGACCAGTGGCGCGTTATATCGAGAATTCGGGTGAATTCGAGAAACACGTCAGTGGGGTGAATTTTTATTCAGATGGTGAATTTTTATTCGGATGGTGAATTTCTTATTCGGCGCAGAAGGACGCAGATTTGATCCCTGTGCCTTGAGGATCTGCTTCGTCCACCACACCACCTCCACCCTTCCTAGATTCCTGTCCTTGCCATCACTTGAGCGGAGTCTCTCCCGTCAGTCTCGCCCTCGCATCCGTCCGCTCAGTCGGCGTAGCCGCGTCCCCCTCGTCCGCGCGCATGCATCGTGTGCGCAGCTCCCGCGCCTCTCGCCTTCTCCATCTCGTCGCGCAGCACCATGCCGCTCCCCGGCTCGGCGCGCTGCAGCACCGTGCCGCGGCCGTCTCGGCGGCCGGTGGAGATCGGCCGGCAGCGTTACGCGTTCCGCCTGCTAGCCGGCCAGTAGAAGCGGCAGGTCCGTCCAGCCGCTGCGGCGGCATCCGCATAGGACGATTTACCGCCGTGTTGCCGCAGATCTGCTGCCAGGCTGTCAGTCTGCCTGGCGTTGCCACGCTGTCCGCCGAGTCATTACCTTCCATAGCCACGTCATCACTCGCCGAGCGGTACCGCTTAGCACCGCGCCTTACACCACTTTCTAGACTTTCCGCTCCTCATCATCACTCCACACCTCTCCCAGTCAGAGCACCGTATTCTCATGCATTTAGCGCCGTCTCCGGCGGCAGCGGGAGCGGCAGTGATGGCGGCAGTGGTGGCAGCAGCAACGGGAGTGTTGGCGAAAGGGGCGAAGCCGCGGGCGAAGCCGCGGGCGGTGCAATTTCGGATCAACTCTCGGACTTCTTTTCGGATCTAAATTCGGATCTAGGTTCGGAATTAGGCGCGGAGTTAGGCTCGGATTCAGCCTCGGATTCAGGCTCGGATTTAGGTTCGGAGGACGTGTCGGTGGGGGTGCTGGAGGGGGTGGTGGAGGATGCGCGGCAGGCGTACGGCGAGAGGCACGAGCTGGTGGCGGGACTTAGGCTGCGACTGGCGCAGGCGTATCTGCAGCAGGGGCGGGACGCGGGGGAGGTGCTATCTGTGGTGGAGAAGGCGTGGGAGGTGAGATGTGGTGGAGAGGTTGCCTAGCTGCCTGTGATAATGAGTTTGTTTTGAGATGGCTCGACATTGACCCTCCGCATTCTCAGTCAGTCAGTCAGCCAGCACTACTATAGCTTGTCGTTTCTTCTTCACTAAAACTCCAAACTCCAGACCAGAGCCCCACCAAACTCCAACCCTAACCATGGACTCCAAACCTTGCCAATTCCAATACCAAACCTTGGACCCCGAATTCCAAACCCTGAATCCGAACCTTAAGCCTTGACCCCTGGCGTTAAACCCTGAACCTTGTTGCACATGACCCTCCCTCCCCTGGCACCATCATCAGGTGTTTGACAGCGTTGCCATTGATGGGATGGGGATGCCGTGTGAGCCACGTGCCTGCACCTCATGGCCACATGTCATTAAACTCCAAATTCCGCCAAACCCAATGCCAAACCTCAACTCTAAAACCCATGCATCCCATGACCCTCCCTTCCTGCCTCCCATGGCACCATCAGGTGTTTGACGCCATTGCCATCGATGGGGATCCGCTCTGAGCCATGTGCTTAAACCCTGAACCCGTGCTGCCCATGACCCATCCTCCCTTCCTCCATCCCTTGGCACCATCAGGTGTTTGACAGCGCTGCCATTGATGGGGATCCGGTGCGAGCCATGTGCCTGCATCTCATGGCCGCATGCCATGCCAGGTGATATGTGGTGATGTGATGGTATGATGGTCCGATGGCATGCTGAGGTTACATTGAGTGACATTGGCATGTGCCTGTTCCGCACCTTATGGCCGCATGCCATGCCAGGTGATGGCTGATGGAGTGGGGTGATGGTACAGTGGGTTTGTATTGCATGACATAGCCATGTGCCTGCACCTCATGGCCGCATGCCATGCCAGGTGAGGTGATGATGTGATGTGGTGTTGGATGGACGGACGGACAGACGGACGGACGGACGGACGGAGGGATGGATGGATGGATGGATGGATGGATGGATGGATGGATGGATGGATGGATGGATGGATGGATGGATGGATGGATGGATGGATGGATGGATGGATGGATGGATGGATGGATGGATGGATGGATGGATGGATGGATGGATGGATGGATGGCTGGCTGGCTGGCTGGCTGGCATGATGAGGCTGTACCGCACAGCCTTGGCTTGTGTCTGCATGTCATGGCCGCATGATTGGCATGGTTTGACCGCATGTCTTGTTATGAGGTGATATTGTATAAATACCTCCCTTCCATCCTCAATTTCCAACCCAACCCCCCTTCCCCTCCTCATCCTCCCATTTCTACCTGCTCCTGCTCCCACAGGCTCGGCGACCCAGACGAGTGCCTCTCACTCCTCGTGCAGTGCGAGGCGGGCCACATTGCTCGCTCGCGGCCCCAACCCCACTTTCCACCCCGTCTCTGCCCCTCCCACCCACCCCTCCTTCCCCCCTTTTCCCCCCCCCTGCTCCCACAGGCTCGGCGACCCAGACGAGTGCCTCTCGCTCCTCGTGCAGTGCGAGGCGGCGCTGGAAGATTCCAAAAAGCTTCAGAGACTTGTGCAAGAGCAAGAAGGCGTTGAAAATAAGCCAAAATCAACGTCTGATGGGAGGCAGAGCGATGGATTGGGGAGTGGAGGAACAGAGGGTGGAAGGGTAGAGGGTGGTGATGGGGAGGGGGAGGGGGAAGCAGCAGCAGCAGCTGCTGCAGCAGCGATGGCACAAGGGACAGCCGATGCCATCCACATGGTTGGGTTTGCCATGCACATGCTGCGAGCTGACGTCAGCAGTGCAAGGGGCGACATGGATACTGCACTGAAGGCATACAGGTGAGTAACCTCACCTGTGGAGGAAAATTTCTCCTCATAGCTCCATTCGTCGTATCCTCATGTGGAGTGTGACTGTTCTGTCAGTGGAGGAGACATGTTCCTTTGACTGGATGGGAGGAAGCCATATTTCTGGAACATATTTCTGTGTTTACCCTCTCCCACCGCCCCCCTGACTTTTCTTTCAGGGCTGCTCTCGAGCTACAGGAAGAGGCACTGGGCTCAGAGGACCCACGGGTAGCAGACGCACTGCAGCACGTGGGGGAGGAGTGCGCGCGGCACATGCGGCTAGTCGATGCCCATTCCATGGGGATGCGCGCGCTGCAGCTTCATGAGGCACACAGGAGAGGCTTGGAGGAGAGGTTGGGAGTGGAGGAGGGGAGTGGGGAGGGGGGAGGAAGGGGAGGGGAGGGTGGGGAAGAGGGAGGAGGGGTGAGAGGGGAGGAGTTGAGGGAGAGAGTGAGGGAGGAGCTGGAGGGGAGGGGAAGGGAGGAGGTGAAGAGGGAGTATGAGGAGGCTGTCATGAAGGAGGTGGCAGATCACCGGTGAGTTGGCTTATCAAGGATCTGTTGGCTTATCAAGGATTTGTTGGCTTATCAAGGATTTGTTGGCTTATCAAGGATTTGTTGGCTTATCAAGGAGGGGGTGTTGGCTTATCAAGGAGGGGGTGTTGGCTTATCAAGGAGGGAGTGTTGGCTTATCAAGGAGTGGGTGTTGGCTTATCAATGAACATCTGAAGCATTTCCATCTTACCACCATAGTCCCTTCCGTACCCTGCTGCTATCCGTATCATTCCATCCATGTCTTCTCTCTCTTTTGAGTCATCTCCCTTTTGAGTCATCTCTCTTTTTGAGTCATCTCCCTTTTGAGTCATCTCTCTTTTGAGTCATCTCCCTTTCGAGTCATCTCTTTTTTTGACTTCGCTCCCTTCCTTGCGTATTCTCCCTCTCAGCCTGCTTACAGCCGTGTATGCGGGTCAGGGCGATGCCTCCCCAGCAGTGCACCACATGTCAGCAGCAGCATCCCCCCTTGGCTCCCTCCTCGTCCTTCCCTGCCCTCCCTCATTCCCTCCTTTTCCCCCCTCCCCATATCCCACCCTCCCCCTTCTCAGCCTGCTAGCAGCAGTGTATGCAGGTCAGGGCGACGCCTCCCCTGCAGTCCACCACCTGTCAGCAGCAGCCGCTCTCCTCTCCTCCCTCCTCTCATCGCCTTCCCCGCCCTCCGCCCTCTCCCCTCTCGACCTCGCCGCTGTACACCTCGCCACTGTTGATATTATCTTGCACTCGGGGTTGCTGCAGGGTGGGGAGGAGGAGGAGATGGGGGAGGGAGAGGAAGGGGGGGCGAGGGAAGGGGTCGTGGAAAAGGGGGAGAGGGGGAAGAGAGGAGCGGAGGAGGCGGAGGATGGGGAGGGGATCGATAGCAGAGAGCAGCTAGGGGAAGGACTGGGTGCAGGATTAGGGGGAGAAGTAAGGAGAGGTTATGAGGGAGGAGCAGAGGGAGGGGAGGGGAGATGGCGATGGATATGGCAGTGTTGGCGTTGGAAGCACTAAAACAGTGTGTGGCGGTGCAGGGGGAGGGGTTGGGGAAGGACCACCCTGCTGTGGCGAGGACTTATGCGCTCGCTGCTGATGTGTACTGGCAGATAGGGCAGGCGGAAGAGGCCGAGGTGAGATGCGGTGCAGTGCAGTGCAGTGGGGTGTGGTGAGGTGAGGCGAGGTGAGGCGAGGAATTCTAGCAAGAAAGATGCCTGTTGTGGCGAGGACATATATGTACGCTGCTGATGTGTACTGGCAGATAGGGCAGGCGGAGGAGGCAGAGGTGAGGCAGACGGTTGGAACTTGGGTGCGATGAGGTGAAATGCGATGTGGTCAGGTGAGGCAAGGAGGTTTGAGTGAGCGGTTGGGTGGAAGACAAAAGCGCCCTCCCACTCAGTTTGTTTGCGTTACTCGCTATATTCACTACACATTAACCCTCTTAAAATCTCTCTATCTTACCACGAAAAAGTGATCAAGAGAGCGATCAAGGTACCGATAGCCATGCCACAGCGCACCAGCGCAGTGAAGAGGCAGCAGCAGCGCTCTCTCACCACAGCTTTTTCTCATTACTCCTCCTCACCCCCCATCACCTTTCTTAACCGCCCTCCACCCCACCACACCAGGAGGTGAGCAAGAGAGCATTTGAAGTACTAGCAGGTATGCAGGCGCTCTCCCACTCAGTTCGTTTGCATAACTCCCCTCCTATATCCCCTTCTTTCAACCGCCCTACACCCCACCACACCAGGAGGTGAGCAAGAGAGCAATTGAAGTACTAGCAGGTATGCAGGCGCTCTCCCACTCAGTTCGTTTGCATAACTCCCCTCCTATATCCCCTTCTTTCAACCGCCCTACACCCCACCACACCAGGAGGTGAGCAAGAGAGCAATTGAAGTACTAGCAGGTATGCAGGCGCTCTCCCACTCAGTTCGTTTGCATAACTCCCCTCCTATATCCCCTTCTTTCAACCGCCCTACACCCCACCACACCAGGAGGTGAGCAAGAGAGCAATTGAAGTACTAGCAGGTATGCAGGCGCTCTCCCACTCAGTTCGTTTGCATAACTCCCCTCCTATATCCCCTTCTTTCAACCGCCCTACACCCCACCACACCAGGAGGTGAGCAAGAGAGCAATTGAAGTACTAGCAGGTATGCAGGCGCTCTCCCACTCAGTTCGTTTGCATAACTCCCCTCCTATATCCCCTTCTTTCAACCGCCCTACACCCCACCACACCAGGAGGTGAGCAAGAGAGCAATCGAAGTACTAGCAGGTATGCAGGCGCTCTCCCACTCAGTTCGTTTGCATAACTCCCCTCCTATATCCCCTTCTTTCAACCGCCCTACACCCCACCACACCAGGAGGTGAGCAAGAGAGCAATTGAAGTACTAGCAGGTATGCAGGGGCGCTCCCACTCAGTTCGTTTGCATAACTCCCCTCCTATATCCCCTTCTTTCAACCGCCCTACACCCCACCACACCAGAAAGTGAGCAAGCGGGCAATAAAAGTACTGGCAGCCATGCCAGCAGCGCACCAGCGCAGCGAGGAGGCAGCAGCAGCGCTCTCCCACGTGGCTCTTCACCTCAAACGCACCGACCGCTGCGGCATGGCGGTGCCTCTCTTGCAGCGGGCGCTGAGCATCAGACAGGAGCACCCAGACCACTTGCTGCAAGCTGTAGGTGAGTCAATGGGGGAGGGATCTGCGTGTGTGGGCTGATAAGCCGGCTCACTGGCAGCGAGGAGGCAGCAGCGGCGCTCTCCCTCGTGGCTCTGCACCTCAAGCTCACTGACCGCAGCCGCATGGCCGTGCCTTTTCTGCAATGGGCGCTGAGCATCAGAAGGGAACACCCTGATCATCTGCTGCATGCTGTGGGTGAGTCACATGGGGAAGGAACACTCTGCACCTCAAGCTCACCCACCGCAGCGGCATGGCCGTGCCTTTGCTGCAATGGGCGCTGAGCATCAGGAGGGAACACCCCGACCACTTGCTGCAGGTTGTGGGTGAGTGTGAGGGAGAGGGAGAGGGAGAGGGAGAGGGAACATCTTGTGAGAGTTACTGCTATCCCCGTCCTGCTCTCCACACTCCCCTCTCTTCGTTCCTTTTTGTCCGTTAAGTTTTAGTTAGTAATGAAATCATAAAATAGTTGAGCATAAGAAAGAACTTATTTATTGGATTGAAATTTTAGAAGACTGGTGCCATCCCCCACACCCCTCCCCTTCCCGTTGCCCGATTCCCATTCCCCCATTCCCCTCCCAGGCACAGCGACGGACCTTGCCTCTCTCCTCCTCACCCTCCGCCGCCCCAACCAGGCCCTCCCGATCCTCCTTTCCGCCCTCCCCCCCTTGTACTCCCTTCTTGTCAACTTTGCTCATTAAACAGCTTCCCAACCCCTTTTCATCCCCCCACCGTTCTCCTCCGCTTCTCCACGTTCCCTCTCTTCATCTTCTTTTCTCCCCATTCTGCTTCCAGGGACGGCAACAGACCTCGCTTCTCTCCTCCTCACCCTCCGCCGCCCCAACGAAGCTCTCCCCATCCTCCTCTCCGCCCTCCCCTCCCTCCGCTCCTTCCTCGGTCCCTCCCATGCTGCCTCCCTCCCCCTCCTCTCCCTCCTCTCCGCTGCCCACTCTTCTCTCGACCAATGGAACGAGGCGGCGAGAGTGGTGGGGGAGATGTGGGAGGTGGTGAGAGGGGAGGGGATGGAGGGGGCAATGGGGGAGGATATGAGGGGTGATGAGGCGGCGATTGGCATGTGGATACCCTTGGCAGATGCGCTGGAGAGTGAAGAGAGGTGAGAAAGGATTGACGAGGGGTGAGAAGGAGTAAGGAGAGGTGAGACATGAAGAGGTAAGGGGAGGGAGCGTTTCATTGCTGAGGGTACTGAGGTGGCAATGAGGGGTGATGAGGCAGCGATTGGCAAGTGGATACCCCTGGAAGATGCGCTGGGGAGTGAAGAGTGAGGAGAGGTGGGAATCGGTGAGGAGAGGTGGGAATCGGTGAGGAGGAGAAGACATGTAAGGAAAGGGGGTTTTATATCGGTCAGGGTTCTGGGGATTGGCAGATGCATTGTGGAGTGAAGAGATGTGGGAAGGATTGATAGGGAAAGGTGAGAAAGTAGTGCGTTGGGGGAGATGTCGGAGGTGGTGAGAGGGGAGAGGATGGAGCGGCTATAAGGGAGGCTGTGAGGGGCGATGAGGCAGCGATTTGCATGTGGATAGCACTGGCAGATGCGGTGGGGAGTGGAGAGAGGTGAGAAGGAGTGAGCAGGGAGGGCAGATGTACCACTGCTACACCTCCATTCGTCATTCTCTTTGGTTGCACTCTGCCGTCGCTCTCGCTTGCTATTCTCTTGTTGATCTCTTGCTACACCCTTGTTAGGTACTCTCTTATTCGTCCCGTGTTACTCTCTCTGCGTGCAGGTTCCTTCTGCTGCAGCAGGCCATGGAACAATCAGAGAGAGGAGCGCAGGCAGGACAGGATACAGCAGCTAGAGCTCGCTGGCTTGAGGTGCTTAGGGAGGTGACAATGATTAAGGAGGATTAGCCGTGGCTGATTATGCGTTTCAGATTTCGAAGTGTGTTCTTTTAAATTGGTACGGTGGTGTGCAAGCCGTGTTTTTTCGTGTTGCACATGCAAATGCTGTAGCACTCCTGTAATTGCACTGACTTAAAAGTGTGTTAGCATGGCAAATCATCCCAAACGGAATGAATACTTTTACAGGAAAGGGTACATATTGCGGAGCACAAGCTATAATCCAAGTACTTCTGACTACAGTATGGCCCCATATGAGGTAACTTCTCTGGTAATACCCAAGGGCTAGGGCAGAATGCGTGGACTGGACAAACAGGCAAAGTACAGTACATCATTAAGGCCTGCCGGTCCTATTTACGCACTTTCAGAGCTGTGTGTGTGTGTGCCTACTTCCTGGTATGATCATGCAACTCAAAGCAAATTCCTTCACATGCCACAAAACAGTAGTCAGGAGGAGTTTCCAAGCAGCCACCAGCCATCAGCACCAGCAATGATGATGGCACCGATGCCCTTGCCAATCTTTGCCAAGCCCACCACCTTCACAGCATCCCACACCTACCAATCCTCTACACCAAAGTCCATGGCTCTGATTCGCCGACCATTGCTGCTGGTGATGGTGCTGCAGATGGCGTTAAGGGTATCTCACAGCTACCAATCCTCTTCTCCAAAGTCCATGGCTCTGATTCGCCTACCCCCTCTCGACCGCCCCCCACCAGCCATTGCTGATGATAACGCCGATCCGTCCTCAACCCCCCCAGGACCAGGTGGCAGTGGTGGGGGAGACGACGGGCGGTGGTGCTGCAAGTGCAACGCGCCGATGCGGGGAGAGAACAAACCAGAAGGACTCAAATCATCAGCACCACCACCAGCACCAGCACCAGCACCAGCACCAGCAGCAGCAGCAGCGGCAGCAGCGGCAGCAGAGGAAGGGCTGAGGTCCGAGTCACAGGACGTGAGGGGTTGTCGCTCGGAGGCGGTGGTGGGGCCGTGGGAGTGGATGGTGGCAAACTCCTGCCAGTGCAGATGCTGCTCCGTCTGCCTCCACTTGTGCATGGCGTAGAGCGTCCACGCAGCCATGGGGAGGACAGCAATGGTGATGATGACTGCCAGGATAAGGAGGTCTGGAGGAAAAAAAGCAAGCAAGGGATACGGAGAGAGCAAGGGATGGTTGGATAAAGCAAGCTCCTGCCAGGGCTGGTGCTGCCCATCTGCCTCCACTTGTGCTGGTGTGGAGCGTCTAGAGAGCCATGGGGAGGACAGCGATGGTGATGATGACTGCCAGGATGAGGAGGTCTGGAAGGAAAGGGGGGAAAGGATAAAGGAGAGGGCAAGGATAAAGGAAAGGGCAAGGATAAAGGAGAGGGCAAGGAATGGGCGGGTAAGGCGAACCCCTGCCAGGCCAGGGCTGGTGCTGCCCCGTCTGCCTCCACTTGTGCATGGCGTAGAGCGTCCAGACAGCCATAGCACAGTGATGGTGACAATGACAGCAAGGAGTAGGCGGTCTGGGGGCGAGGGGGGAGGAAAGGGAGGTAAGGAGAGGTCAAGGGATGGATGGATAAGGCACGCTCCTGTCCATGGCTGTCAGTCCAGGCCTGGCTATGGGGATGGAAGGGCTGGTGTTCAATGGAACACCATGTAGGTACCATGGTTCAATATGAGGCAGCAAACGCTAGTGAAGTAGACCTCGAGAGTAGTTTGTTCGAGTGCTTGTTTGAAAACTCTTGTGTAAAAAAATCGATAATAACCGGTTTCAGCGTTGTGCCTCTTCACCTTGGTGCACAGCAAGGCCGGCGTCACCAGAGTGCTGTCAGAGGTAGCCGCCCGCTCCCGGTTTTATTGCTCGCTCCATCGTTTGAGGTGTTGTTTTGAACGCTCGATTTACTCATGGTGCTCATCACGCTGCCCGCCAACTTAAATATGTCGAAGGACTTTGCTGCGACCGTCCGTAAGTTCCTGCTCGGCCGACTGGGGGAATGCGCTTCTGCCCTCTGCGTGTGCGCTGCGCCAAGGCTCTCAAGAGAGTGGGTCCGTTTGAGGAGGGCGGTGAAGTCGGCGTGGAGACGCCTTCTTCAAACAGGTGCACTCTCTTGAGAGCCTTGGCAGCGCACACGCGGAGGGCAGAAGCGCATTCCCCCAGTCGGCCCGAGCAGGAACTTACGGACGGTCGCAGCAAAGTCCTTCGCCAGATCGAAGTTGGCAGGCAGTGCGATGAGCACCTGTGAGTAAATCAAGCACTCAGAACAACACCTAGACGATGGAGCGAGCATAGCACAAGCGGAACGGGAGCGGGGTGACTACCTCTTACAACACTTCGGTAGCGCTGGCCTTGCTGCGCGTCGAGGTGAAAAGACACAACATCTCCTCCACCAGCTTCCATGCGTCCTCGCGTCCTGTCAACGTCTCCGCGACCAACATGCCGAGGAACATCATGAAGAATGTAAAACATCGTCTTGCCAAGGCTGCCGAAATTTTGGTTGAAAGCGGGTTGAATGACACCATTAATGACCTTAAGATGAACAGCCCGAAAATCGTTACGGTGTTCACAAGCACATTGGAGGAGAAGCAATGATTTTTTAGGAATTTAACTTTTGAGTCGACTCATAAGGAGGACAGCAATGGTGGCGACAATGACAGCAAGGAGCTGGAGGCCTGGGGACGAAGGGGGAGGAAGGGGTGGTAAGGAGAGACCAAGGGATGGATGGAATAAGGCACGCTCCTGGCCATGGCTGTCAGTCCAGGTCTGGCTATGGGGATGGAAGGGCTGGTGTTATGCTCCCCATGACTGTCAGTTCAAGTTGCCAATCACCCATCCCCTCCCTCCGACCGTCCTTCCGTCCACCCCTTGAATCCTCTATGCAGCCATTCCTCCCCCACTCACCTGCCAGGCCTCGTTTTCTTGGTGTGATGAGATGATTTTTTAGTCGACTCAACAATCCTCCCCACTCACCTGCCAGGCCTCGTTTTCTTGGTGTGATGAGACAATTTTATAGCTGACTCAACAACCCTCCCCACTCACCTGCCAGGCCTCGTTTTCTTGGTGTGATGAGACAATTTTATAGCTGACTCAACAATCCTCCCCACTCACCTGCCAGGCCTCGTTTTCTTGGTGTGATGAGACAATTTTATAGCTGACTCAACAATCCTCCCCACTCACCTGCCAGGCCTCGTTTTCTTGGTGCCGCCGCTACCAACGCACCCAGCACTCCTGATGCTGCTGCCAGGCAGTCCCGAGACCCTGAGGTGAGTTTTACGAGCGAGCAATGGGGAGAGGAGGGGGAAGAGGGGGAGTTTGAGTGAGTTAAGGGCAAATGGGTGGAGTAGGGCGGCAAACACCAACACACCCACCCAGCACTCCCGATGCTGCTGCCAGCCAGGCAGTCCCGAGACCCTGGGGAGTGTTTTGTGGTGGGGGAAGAGGTGCAGGGTCTGAGCGAGTTAAGCTTGGAGCAAGAAAGCAGGGCAATCAGCACGCCCAGCACTCCTGATGCGGCTGCTGAGAGTCTGGAGAACCTAAGTGGGTGGGAAAGGGCGCGATTGAGTGAGTGAAGGGATGAGGGATACATTAGGTAGGGTGGCAAACGCAAACACGAGAGATGTGTGAGAGGGAGCGAGTGACGTGCTGGAGAGAGAAGGGGTGAAGTTGACAGGAGTATGAGGGCAACGTGATGTGCCTTCAGTTCAGAGGTTGGCACACGAGGGCAGCTACTGTCCAAAAGAGGGTGCTGGGTGCTTTTGTGAAATTTCAAAATGACCCTGCAACATCATGAAAGAAGGGGTGAAGTTGACAGGAGTATGAGGGCAATGTGATGTGATGTGCCTTCCAAGGTTGGCACACGAGGGCGGCCACTGATGAATGTAACGACGTTTGTCACACCCTAATCTCTGAAGGATAGCGCAAAAATGCACAGGAAGACTGCTCTCGAAGAGATTGAGGACATATTTATGGGAATTCAGGGTTTATGGGGATTCTAAAAGAAATACTTACGGAGGTATTTAAGGGCGGTGGCAGGGAAGTCAGAGAAGAGCCCATCCACTCCCACGGCCTCCACAAACATGGCATACTCGTTCAAAGGGTCCTGAGGAGACAGAGGAGAGCGAGATGGGATGCCACGAGGGGAGAGGAGAGATGGGATGACACGAGGGGAGAGGAGAGATGGGATGCCACGAGGGGAGAGGAGAGATGGGATGACACGAGGGGAGAGGAGAGATGGGATGACACGAGGGGAGAGAAGTGGGATAAAGGGAGGAATAAGACAGCCCATCCACTCTGATCGCCTCCAAAAACATCGAATACTCATTCAAAGGGTCCTCAGGGGAGGGAGAGAGAGATGGGACGAAAGAATGGGAAGCAAGTGGGATGAAGGGAGAGAGGGAGCACTCACCAATTCATAGCCAAGGGAGAGGAAGATCCCGTTGCTGGCGATTGGCATCACAGCGAGCTGGCGAGCACGTGTTTGAAGTAGTGTTTTGAGACGTCTCAAAACACGACTTCAAACAAAAGGGAGAGGAAGATCCCGTTGCTGGCGATTGGCATCACAGCGAGCTGGCGAGAAGGGTGGTGGGCGAGTAGGGCTCGGCTTGCTTGACTGAGCTAAAGGGGGGAGAGACCGCTTACCAACTCGTAAGTGAGGTAGTGGAAGATCCAGTCGTTGCTGAAGGGCCAGGGCAGCACGGCGAGCTGGGTGGTGAGTTAGAAGGACTGGGCCGGAGTGATTGAGCTAAGGGAGGGAGAGAGCGCGCTAGGGCAGGGGGAGAGCACCCACAAGTTCATAGCTGAGTGAAAGGAAGATCCAGTCATTTGCAAAAGGCCAGGGCAGCACGGCGAGCTGGCGGGTTGGGTCGTGAGCGAGGGAGACGAGGTCGGTCTGGTTGAGCAGCTTCTTGTGCCACGACTCCACCGGCAGCACCAGGTGCTTCTCTGGTGCGATGGCCACTGCGTAGAGTGATATGGCATTGAGGATGCACGCTCGGAGAGGGGTGGTGGGCGGGCAGGAGGGGGGAGGAGCCTGCAGGATGGGGTTGGTGTCCGATGGCTGAGGGATGGGGAACGAGGGAAGAGGGACACAGGAAGGGGAGCACTGGATGGTTTGTGGGGAATTGTTCGAGTTCAAAGGGAACAGGATAGTGTCTGGTTGAGCAGCTTCTTGTGCCACGACTCCACCGGCAGCACCAGGTGCTTCTCCGGTGCGATGGCCACTGCGTAGAGAGCGATAATGTCGAGCATGCAGGCTCGCAGGGAAGCGGTTGGCGGGCAGGAGGGAGGAGGGGCCTGGAGAATGGGGTTGGTGTTGGATGGCTGGGGGGGGGTGGGAGGGACGGGGGAAGAGATAACAGGGAAGAGGGAGATGGTGGTCAGTAGAAGCTGGCTGGTTGGATCATCACGAAAATGAAAGGGTCTGGTTGAGCAGCTTCTTGTGCCGTGACTAGCAGCACCAGGTGCTTCTCTGGTGCGACGGCCACGGCATAGAGTGCGATAGCGTCCAAAATGCACGCTCGGAGAGGGGTGGTGGGCGGGCAGGGCAGGAGGGGGAGGGGCCCGGAGGATGGAGTTGGTGTCGGAAGGCTGGAGGGTGGGGAGAGAGGCAAAAGGGGGATGGTCAGTGGGAGCAAGGTGCAAAAATATGGCCGGAAAAAACAAAAATCAGTAAAAAAAAAAAGACTGCATTTTTTTACCTAGAATGGGAGAGTTTAGAGAGAACAGAAAGGGGTCTGGTCTGGTTCAGCAGGTGCTTGCTCCCACGGTTTCAAGGGAGGCTTGAATTTTAAGAACAATAAATTTCACCCTCCCCACCCCATCCCACCCCTCCTCACCTCGTCCCACCCCTCCTCACCTCGTCCCACCCCTCCTCCAAAATTTGTACGAGGGGAATGGAGGTGCGTTGGCTGCAGTAGACCAGGGAAGCAGCGCTCCTCGCCTCTATCACCACTAGATGCACTGCTGGGTCAAGCACAACCCGCCCTCCGGCTGTAGCAGCAACAGCTGTAGCAGCATTGGCTGCGGCAGCATCACCAGCTGTAGCCGCGTTGGCTGTAGCTGCACCAGCACTGATGCTAGCAAGGCGGTCACTAAGAGAGGCAGTGGGGGAGGAGGAAGAAGTGAGGGTGTTGAAGGGATTTGAAGGGCGGGGAGGTGGCTGAAGGTTGTTGATGCTGAGGAGTGTGAGGAGAGACTCGACTAGAGGGCACCCAATGGACTCATGGAATTCAGGGTACTGAGAACGGGTTGCAGGGGGAAGTAAAGGACGGAGGGGGGGAACAGAGAGAGGCGTTATTTGAGGCACGATGCAAAACAAGTTCTTGGTGTGGAGGAGGTTGAGGAAAGACAGAGGAGGAGGGAGAAGGGGTGAGGGCGTTGAACGGATTTGAAGGGCGGGGAGGTGGCTGAAGGTTGTTGATGCTGAAGAGAGTGAGGAGTGACTCGAGTAGAGGGCAGCCGATGGACTCGTGGAATTCAGGGTACTGGGGGTGTGTTGCAGGGACAAGGACGGAAAGGGAGGATAGAGTAAGGATTGCGTATCCAGTGTTGATTCTTTCCTTCCCTCCTCCTTTCATTCCCCACCACCCCCACTCACTCTGGGTTCAAGTATCAGCCCCACGGATCGGTTGCTTCTAGCAGCCGTCAACTCCGGGTTTTGATTGGAGAAGAGCACAACAGAAAGCAAGGAGTGGGGAAGGGCAGGCAAGTTGTTGTGACAACTCAGAGCACACTCTTTCTTCACTCGCTCACTCCTCCCTTCGCCCCTTCTCCCTCCACTCCCCACCACTCACTCTGGGTTCCAGCATCAGCCCCACTTGTCGGTTGCCTCTAGCAGCCAGCAGCTGGGGGTTTTGATTGGCGGAGAGCACGAGGTCAAGCACAGCGGAGAGCGTGGGGATGGATAAACGGCCGTGAAGGGTCTTGTCCCGCCACTGGTATCGCTGCTCCACTGCTCTGCAGGGAAGGGAGGGGAGGGGATGCGGGGGAAGGGATAGGGGGTGGGTGCAAGGATGGAAACGAGAGAGCGCACAGCAGAGAGAGAGAGGGGATGGATAAACGGCCATACAGGGTCTTGTCCCGCCACTGGTATCGCTGCTCCACTGCTCTGCAGGGAAGGGAGGGGAGGGGGGAGGGAGAGAGAGAGAGAGAGGCGTGTGTACAAGCATGTGTAATGGTGGATGTGCCGCGAAGGGCCTTGTCCTGGCACTGGTATCGCTGCTCCACTGCTCAGCTCTGCAGGGAGGGGGAAAGAGGGGAAGATAGGAGAACGTGTATAACCGCTCGTGTGCACACACACACAATGGCATACCAAGAACACTGCCATGTGCCGAACCCACCTCTGAGGATCTGAATCTGTTTGAACGTGAAGTTGAAGGCGAAGAAGCCATTCTCTCCTGCCCCCCAATGACCGCCGTTGACTTGAGTTGACTCAGCCTCGGGTAATGGAAAGCTTACCTCTGAATGCCTCTCTGTGCCAAACCCACCTCTGAGGATCTGAATCTGCTCGAACGTGAAGTTGAAGGCAAAGAAGCCTTCCACCTCCTGCCCCTCTATGACCGCCGTTGACTTTAGTTGACTCAGCTCTGGGTGGTGCGCCACGTTCGTCACGAGTGTCAGATCCAGGTCGTTCCAGCAGATCAACTCAAAGTCCGCCGTGCTGATCAGTTGAAGGGGTGGCGAGAAGGGGGGGAAAGAGGTAGAGCTCTGGGTGGTACGCAACGTTCAACAACACCAGCGTCAGATCCAGATCGTTCCAGCAGATCAGCTCCAAGTCCGCCGTGCTGGTCACCAAGGGAGGGGGAGGAGAGATGGGGAGACACATGGTGCAGGGTGATTGGGTTGGGAGTGGTGCGCCACGTTCGTCACAAGCATCAGATCAGACCCAGGTCGTTCCAACAGATGAGCTCTAGGTCCGCCGTGCTGGGCAATGGGAGGTGGGAAGGGAGGGGGTGGACGCATGGGTGTGGTGTGGTGTGGGGTGACTGGGAATGGTGCGCCACGTTTGCCACGAGTGTCAGATCCAGGTCGTTCCAGCAGATCAGCTCTAGGTCTGCCGTGCTGGGCATTAAAAAGGGGGGGAAGGGGGAGATGGGGAGAGGGGAGCTATCAGCTATGAGTGCGCAGGAGTTTGCAAGAAGGTAGTGCGCCACGCTCGTCAACAACAAGAGAGGCAGATCCAGGTCGTTCCAGCAGGTCAGCTCTAGCTTTGCCATGCTGGTTACCAAAGGAAGGGAGGGGGGGGGAGGGGGGGTGGGCGGATGGGGAAAGGGGGAGATGCGTAGATGGTTGCAAGAAGAAGGGGAGCTCCGGGTGGTGCACCACGCTCGTCACCAACAAGAGAGGCAGATCCATTTTGTTCCAGCAGATCAGCTCCGAGTCTGCTGTGCTGGTTACCACAGGGGGGAGGTTGAGGAGACGATGTTTGGCAAATAGAGCATTGGGGGGGTTGCGAAGTTAGTCGTCAGCGTGTGACTCACCGTCCACTCCATCAAGCCCCTCTCGTATTCCTATTATGTGCTCTCTCTCAGGCAAGGACCATCAAGACATACCCCGCCATAGTCACACCTCCAGCTCACCGCATGACGTTGCACTCCACATAGTCCGACAATCAGCAATGGTCCTCCCATATCCCTCCAAGGTGCTTTCAGGCATGGGCCATCAAATATCAGGAGATGAAGACGTACCCCGCTATAGTCACCCCTCCAGCTCACCGAATCACGTTGCATGCGACATAGTCTGCCCCATTGGCAATGGCCCTCTCAAATAATACCCCTCCAAGGTGCTTCAAGGCATGAGGCACCAAATACCTGCATAAGAAGGCATACATTACATACCCCACAGTAGTCAAATCACATCTCCAACTCACCAGATGACGTTGCACTCCACATAGTCCGCCCCATCGGCTATGGCCCTCTCGTATCCCTCCAACGTGCTCTCAGGCATGGGGCCCATGGCGCCCCTTCTGCCGATCACGATGGGGCGACTGGAGGCTGAGAGCAGGGAAAGGAAGGGGAGGAGCGGGGAATGGGGGGATGTGAAGTCCTCTCAGGCATGGGACCCATGGCACCCTCCCGCCAATCACGATGGGACGATTGGACGTTGCAACAAAGAGAGGAGTGAAAGGGGAGGAGGGAGAAGAGTGCAAATGTTTGTCCCATCCCCCAACGTGCTCTCAGGCAGGAAGGAAGGAGGCGATGGAGGGAGAGGTTTCATACAGCTTCGAGCCACTTGCATGCACGCAGGCTCAGATATGTACCCAGGAATGCACAGATGCTCGATAGTTGGCCACGGACACGCACGAATGCAGCCACGCTCACAACTTTGCCCATATGGACAGCAAGTACGGACTGAGCAGCAATAGCATGCGGTCCCGGATAGAGTCCGAGCGGCACTAAGTCGAGTTTTGAGTCGACTCAAAACTCGACTTATCATACAAAAGTCGACTCAAAACCCAAATGGACAGCAGGCAAGGACTGAGCAGCAATAGCATGCGGTCCCATATGGAGTCCGAGCAACACAAAGATGCGGTATAAGGAGCAATGCTTTTGAGAAGTCTCAAAATTCGTCTGCTTTTGAGAAGTCTCAAAAGTCGTCTGCTTATGAGACGTCTCAAAAGTCGTCTGCTTTAGAGACGACTCAAAAATAGCATGCGGTCCCAAATGGAATCCGAGCAGCACTGAGACGCGATCAAAAAGAGCACTGCGGACAAGAACTCGTACCTGACACCCTTTCTCCGCCATGTAACAGCGCGAGCATTTGTTCAGTGCGAGCGATTGTTAAGGCGTCTCACAACTCGTACCTGACATTCTTACTCCGCCATGTGATAGTGTGAGCAATCGCTCAACGCGAGCGATTGTTAGGACGTCTCACAACCCGTACCTGACACTCTAACTCCGCCATGCGACAGCGCGAGCAGCAGCAGAGGCAGAAGCGACAGTCGCACGGGCGAAGAGTGGCCCATTGCTGTGATGTACGACGCTAACCAATTCCTAACAAAAAACTGTGCGATCTACAGGCATGGTAACGGAAACCGAATAGCTAGCCTATTTCGTCTGTCAAAACAACTTCTGCACAGTACATCAAACTGCCTCGAGGCACGTCTTGCTATACGCTAGGTGGTATTTACTGTCGAGATCGCGCGACTAAGTCCAACAGAACCAATAATTTGGAACGAATGTGCTAAGGCTAACATGCAGCACTGTAAGAAACTAAGCTGAAGGGCACAAAGGATGAATGGACCGGTTATGAACGGAATGATACGGGCTACGATACGACGTAGTCAGTTGCTGCCCTACGGACTACCTCGCGTTTCAACCCACCAATACATCAGAAAGCCAGAAATAAAGCCAGACAATAGATCCAGTCAAGGGAGGAGGTTTGCTTGACAACACGCAGCGTATGGTAGGTGTGTGGTTGTAAGGCACGAAAACGGTTTGTCAGAGCCTCGCGAGCTGTTACCCGTTTTCGTCGCTCAAAGGCAAGCAAACTTCTCTGTTGAGCTGAAGGGGTGATCAAAGTGCTGCAACTTTCCGACGTCGAGGTTGTTGGGCGAGGTAGGTGAGCTGAGGGGTGCCATTTTTGTGATCAAAGTACGCTTGAAAAATGCTGACGCCAGCATCGCCACTTGTACGGAATTGAGCGCACCTGTACAGTGATGACGAGACCACAACAGACAGCAAAACAGGTTGACAGGAATTGTATTCTCGAAACTGACGAAGCTGTACACTTCGCAGTGCAAATTTCGCAGCCATTAGACGCACTGTCTACGCAGACGAAAAATGCATTGCGATGTCCAAACTTCGTCGGAATTCGATTGTTTCGCTATTAGGCCGGCATTTGTCCTGAAGGGGAGTTCGTCGCCGGCATTGTGATCAAAGTGCCGCGGTCGACGTCAAACGACATCGGGGATTGTCAAAAATAGATTTAACACTCTTGAGAAGAACGAGTTTGGTCTGGACTCTGAACAGACCTCGTGGAAGCGCGTCAAACCCAATGCCAAACGAAAGCAGCCAATCATGATGCACCTTGGTTAGGCCCACTTGGTGTGGAACATGGGTTGCGGATTGGTGTAAAGCCCTTATTTCAACCCTGAAGAAAGCCGCCACGGCAAATCCAGGTCTCAATGACCGTGGTTACTCGCTTGAATGGCAAAACCACCAGCCCTTACTCCTTCCAAACCATCCCAAACCTCCATTCAAATCTATCCCAAACCACTCCACTCCATTCCACCACTTTGTTCCGCTCCAAACCAGCCCGCCTCCAAGCCACACTTTGCTGCAGCCATAGCAGCAACGACTGCAGCACCAACCGCACGCCATCACTGCTGCTTCGGTGGGCTGCATCACAGGCATTTCACCTTCCCGCTTTCCGCTTTCAGAGCGCGCGCAAGTTTGTGACTTGCGACCTTTGGTCTCGGTTTCAAATCCAGATCCAGTCACTGCTTGTCTTGTCATCCCAAATGGCGGTTTCCGCTCCTCAAGCACGCTCCCCTTTTTTCTCCGCAATCGACAGTTCCCTCTTGGCTGGCTCGCCGCGTCGTGCCGCCTTCACAACAGCGCATATCGCAGCGCGCCGAGGCACCATTAAAGATACCGCAGCGCCTCTTGGTGCTGCTAATCAGTTTAGCATAATAAAGCGCAGAGCTCGAAAAAGAACGATCCGCGCTGTGCGCAACGAGAATGGCGGAGAAAGCAGACGCGCGCATGGCGGGGAAGGCGGAGGCGGGATCGGCAGAGGCGGAACAAGCAGGTCAGGGATTGGGGGACCAAGCGGGCGGGAAGCAGATTCTGGAAGGGATGGGGGGAGGGGAGAGGATGTTGGCGGCGATGGGGGCAACAGCAGGTCGGGGGGAAGAGGGGGCGGAAGCGGTTCTGGCGAACGCGGTTCAAGCGGATGGGGAGAGGAGGGCGGAGGCGAAGGCGGAGAGGGCGCAAATCCGTCTACCAGCGGCGCATTTCTCCCGCTCGTCGACCATTTCCAGGCACGCGTCAGCCGCGCGTTCCAGATCCGCGCTCCCTTCTTTGCCTCCGCGGTTCTCCAGTCCGCCGCGCGCCTTCCGCCGTTGCTCCGCACCTCCGCGACGTCAGGCGCACTGCTGGCGGGCGGGGACGTATGCGCGCAGTGCATTGAACTCTCGTCAGCTGGAGACGCAGCGCGGATCCGCGACGCGTGTGGAGAAGCAGCGCAGCCAAGCGAAACGCGCGCAACCGACGAAGCGGATACCCTCAGCTGCAGCAGCAGCGCCATATCAAGAGACGGCTCTGGCAACGCGGCAGCAGGACCAGCACCAGCGTTCAACGCGGCAAGATCCGCGCGGATGATGGTGTACGGCGCATGCATATACGGACCTGCACTGCACGTGTGGTAACCCCCGGGGGAGCGGGCAGCGCCAGGAAGGAGCTTGGGCGCGGCTGTGGGGAAGGTGCTGGCGTCTCAGGCTCTGCTGAATCCATGCCTGATTGCTGCTGTGTTTGCGTTCAACTACGCGTGGGCGGGACAGCTGCATGCATTGAAAGGTGCATTTAGTGTTCTCAGGCGCCTCTGATATTGCTGCTGCTGTGTTTGTGTTCAAACACTCGTGCACTGGCCATCTACATGCATTCAAATGTCTTTACTAGGCAACGAGAACGGCTGCCGGTTCTGGCTTCCCTCCCATACCGTATTCCCATCCTTGCCCAATCCCCCACTCATGTCGCTTCTCGCCCATGCTCTTCACCCTGTATCCTGAACCTGAAACTCAAACTTCCCTCTCTTGCAGACAAGTACCAGCGGGACTTCCTGCGAACGTGGCGGCGTGGGTGGCACTTCTGGCTGCCGGCCAGCTTCGCTTCGTTCCGCCTGGTGCCGCTGCACCTGCGCCCCGCCTTCTCCTCCGCCTGCTCGCTGCTCTGGAACTGCCACCTCTCCATGGTCACCATGCACCAGGTGCGTGAAGGGGAAAGGTTGAACGTCTTTGTGACTTTTATTTTATATTATTCATTTATTTTTTTTTAGTCATAATTACGTATATGCGCTCTTGTTCCTTTGTACCGTGGTCTGGAACTGCTTGCTGCTCTGGAGCTGCCAGCCATCTCTCCATGGTCACTATGGGCCAGGTGTGTCTTTCCCTGTTGTATTATGAGTTGACTAAAATCCACCATGCACCAGGCGCATGCTAATCAAAGAATTGTAATTGTGGGAGATGTCCGAGGTTAAACTGGCTTTCCTTAAGGATACATTCCGCTCAGGACATGTCCCTTATGAAAGTGTCGCAATCGATTTTGACGCGTACTTACAGCCTATGCTGCCATGTGTCGGAATTCCGGAGCGCTCAACAAAGTCGCCAAATGTTATTTCGATTGGCTGGCGTGAACCACGGAACTGTCGCCGGCTAATTGCACGCTAGCGCGACAAGGACCTGCCATCGCACGCGGTCCCAAATGTCAATTCCCTCCGCATGTACTTGGACATATTATTACTGCTCATTTTGGCCCATCAAACGCGACTTCCGTTTTAGCCCAATCACAACCCTTCGCGTGTAATTGTCGCGTGGTCGTGCAGGGTCGCAGTACATCGATGCTTTGTGACATCATGTTCAGAGACATATGGGCGCGACTCGGTCGAAAAGTGATTGCGACACTTTGGTGGTGTTCTCTAGGCACTGGCGGAGGGGGAGCGAGGGGAAATAGGAATCTTCCCCTCTCTGCTTTTTTGGCTCGACACGTCGGTCAGCCCGTAAAACCGTGCCGAGCCACCTTTTTGCCCTCCGAACTAAAACGAAGGTAAATGCCAATAAAACGCTCATTTACCCTCAGGGATGTGCACCCTTTGGAAGCTGCACATTTACCCTCTCCACCTTCCTCCTCAGGCAAATTTTGCCTCCCTCGCCCCCCCCTTTCGGCAACCACTCTTCACGGGGATTTAGGACAGATGTAAGAGAGGAGCTGGGGGAGAAAACACCCGTCGGAGCCTTCCCCCCCTCGCGCCCGAAATTTCCCATCTTTGGTTGTAGCGGGAGGTGGTGAAATCGGGCCAGGAAACACCCTCGGAACGATCGTCATTTACATTCGCACCCCCCCCCTCCTCCCCCCACAGGAGTCACCAGAACACCACCTTTCTAAAGGGACATGTCCTGAGCGGAATGTACCCTAAGTCATATATGCATTGGGCGAAAGTAGGAGATGAGAATGATTGAAGTTGATGTCTCAAGGGGGGATGAGAATGATGTAAGACTTCATGGCTCCTCTCTAATTATTACTACACTATGTGCTCCTATTCTTTTGCACCCACCTCATCCTTCGCCCTCTGCAAGGTTGACCGCCACAATAGAAGGGACAGGGCCGCCATCATCGCGGTAGAAGCCAACAAGTGATGCGCTCATTCTGTAGTGGCAAGATTGTGATGTTGCATTCATGATGTCCGGTTTTGGACTGTTCAAAGAATCGTGATTTGTTCATAGTGATAGACGAGTAAATCCAGGCAGCTTATTGAGTACACCGAATTGTGCTTTCTATCTTGTAGCGAGAGACGCGCAAGGACCAGGTAGAAACTCCCGAACTTTCCCTCACACCTGACACACTTCATACAGGTGCTGTTCGACAGCAAATCGTTTTTTAAATTGAAAACGATGGCATCAGCATCGCGACCGCATATGGAAACGGGGGCGGAACCCTCCTCCGAGGTTTGGGCGAAATGCCGCCCGAGAAACTACGCGCGCCCGAAAGGCGAAATTTCGCAACCGCGTCGGGAAGGTCCATCCCCACCTTCCCCCCAAACCCCTTTGAACGGCAATGCGACGGCTGTGCCATCGCTGTGCTTTGAAAAACGCAGCATGGCGATGGCATGGCTAGGGGATGGTGTTTTGCCTGGGGACGAAGTTTCGTCCCCGCTTCCCGATGCCGTCGAACTGTTAGATTTGTTGTTGGAGAGTGGGCGTTCGCCAGACGCCCATTTGTTTGTTGGTTTGGACGGTAGGTGAGGCTCGGCACTTTTTTCACGGGCTGACCAAGCTGACGGAGGTTAACGAACTCTAACTGACGGGATCAGGAAGGCGAGACCCACCTTCCTGATCCCGTCGTTATCCCGTGGTTTTTAGATATAATGGTGCTGTCGAACATCGCCGCAATCACAAGCGCAGAAAGAGCCCTTGCTGGCCAGTCCCACGGGTCCAGGAGGTCGAATCACGAATCAGGATCTGTGTTTGTCTCGAGCATTTCGTCTCACAATTGCCATCCCTCCCACCTCTAGGTTGCTTGCCAATTTTACTCCCAGCTTAGCACCAAGTTGTGATGTCTAGGAGGTAGTTTTACTTCCTCGTTCGTCGTCGCCTCCTGCGTCTTCACCTTTAAAAACTGGCACGACCAGTCCTCCGTTGCGGCTTTCTCGTCGCCGCGATTTTTGAAAAGGCGAGCCGCGGGTCGTGTAGAGTGGGTCGTCGTAGATTCGTACCTGAAACTTGATGAGAAGGTCTCGACTCTTTTTGTAGGAGCAAACTTACTGAGAGACCACGACAAGGGATTCCGACGAAGTTCCAGTAACTCTTATGAGCACGACGACCATAGTTATCGCAGATAAATAGAAATCATATCAAAGGCTGCCTGACATCGATTATCTGGTCTGACTGAGATCAATTGAAATCTGATGGGGGTGATTATATCGAAGTTGCTGAGCTCACTGTTCGGCGAGAGAGAAGCACGAATTCTCGTTCTGGGCCTCGACAATGCCGGCAAAACCACCATCCTATGTACGTCAGCCAGGAGTTGGCTTCCATTTCATCGCTAGATTATCACCTGGAAATCAGCTACTTAGGTACTAGTTGGAGGGTTGCGATCAAATGATCCTTGCGATGAGATAATTCCTTTGTTCTCGGCAAATGCTCCGATCAAACACTACTGCTGCTTCTTGACGTGGTGGAGTCGAAATGCCCAATAGGAAGAGTTCACCTGCCGGCCGATTTTTATTTTTTTAGGAGACGCGTCCCATTTGCCGAACAACCTCGGATAGCATACCCGGTGGCGATAAAAGATTTCTTTGACGCGTCTTAAGGGATCCTTCACACCTGTTAACAAAAATCGGAACGCGATGTGGCCGAAAAATGGTCCAAGTCACGCGTCGGGCGGTCTTGGATCGCGTCTGCTGCAGTTAAGCCACCTTCGGTTGAGTTGCGGAGGTCGGCAAAAGCAGCCGAATGGGTGCAACGGTGTCGACTTAGGGTTCGCGACGAGCTGCGACTGCTTCGCGAATGTCGTTTCTGGTCCCAGTCGCGTTCGTCTTTTGTCTTTCATTGATTTCAAGTGGTTGATTCTCAGCATTGTCATCCCGCCTTATGACTCCCCACCCCCCCAACCCCTCTCTGCTGCAGATCGGTTGCAGGTCGGCGAGGTGGTCTCAACAATTCCAAGTAAGATCACTTATTCCTTGTCAGGTTCTTCATTGGCGATGTCACCTGCTGTTTCATTCATTCTGTCAAACTGAGTCAGAATAGCAACGCTTGAATCAGGGTGTCGGCTTTGGGGCGTGGATATAAGGTTCGAACTGGGTTCAAGGTCGAACTCTGAGTCGGTAACAACGAGTGTGTTCCAGTAATGATTGGCGTACTGCAGTGTGCGGCGGTGCTGCGAAGTGTAGCGTTTTGAGTTTCTATAACACACCTCGACGTTTTTTTGTGGTCCTGGAATTGTGCTGCAGCTATTGGATTTAATGTGGAGACGGTTCAATACAAGAACATTAAGTTCCAAGTCTGGGATCTAGGTAATGCTCAATCACCTTCTCCCGGGCTCCTTCTCTATTGTCCGACCTCCCACCCCATCTCACACCCCACCCCACACCTTATCTCCTACCCCACCTCTCGCCCCACCCCCCACTCCACTTCCCACCCCAAGTTTTTCTCCTTTAGCACTTCGCTGGTGCGCTTCTTTCCCACTGTGTTCCCCTCAAAATTACGTTTACCAGAGCCATTCTCCACTACCGCCTTAGCAGGTCACTAGGTTCTCTGCTCTCGGCGACCCAGTCCCATCGATTTCCTATGCTGCTCTACCTTACGTGTTGTCTTTTTCCCGCCATTCTTAACGATTCTTTCCTTCGTTTCCACCTTTTTGTCTTATCCGAACCCCCTGACTGCCTGGTTTGGCGCTCTTCTGTGCAGGTGGACAAACAAGTATCAGGTGCGTTCTTGCTACGTTATTAAGCATTTCTCGTCTCTTGAGTGCTTGCTTCGTTCTCGAGCAATTTTCTGGCTCTGCCACCACTCAATTTTGAGTCTGGATCTCTCCAGTCCTCATTTTCCGCATGGCAAGGCTGCTGCTTTCAGTTTATCGCTCCCAATTCTGTCCAATTTTTGTGCAGCTTTCTTGTATCGAACCTGCAGCCTTTAAATGCTTCACACCCCGTCCTTGCCCGTCCATTTCCTCCCCCTCCCCTTTCCTCTCCCTTTCCCCATCCTCACCCTCGATCCCTCTATCCCCTCCACTTCCCTCTTCGTCCCCTCCCTTTCCCCCCTGCCCTTCAACAACACTCAACCCGTCACCTTTCTCTTCTCCCCCCTCCTCTCCCTATTTGTCTTGCCGTCCCTTCCGCCCGTTTGCACCCAACAGAGCATACTGGTAGTGTTTCTGCACCAACACTCATCCCGATTCTCGTCACGTTCCACTTCTTTCCCTCTCTCTGCATGCTATCACCCATCCATCCCTGTACATTCGTGTGTTCAATCAACAGACCGTACTGGCGGTGTTACTACCCCAACACACAGGCCGTCATATACGTGGTTGACTCGACAGATGTGGACAGAATCGGCACGTCCAAGGAGGAATTCCATGCCATTCTCGATGTGAGTGCTCTACCAGGGGTTTGTTTTTAAAAGAAAAATATATATAAAAAGTAACTCGATTTGGGTGCTTTTACAATCTTCAAAATTGCCTCAAATTCTTCTAAGGAGGAAGTTCCACGCCAGTCTGGATGCGGGTGATGTTTCAATGATGGTGGTGCGTGGAAGGCAAGGCGTCGTAATTACTGAACCTCTTGAAATCGCTATGAGCAGTGATTGTGTCAGAGGTTCTGGGATCAAGTTGTTTGCCCGTAGTCATCGTTTCACCATTCTCTTCATGTCTCGTGAGTGTTCTCACAAGCTACAGTTGTCTTATTTTCAGGAGGAGGAGTTGAAGGAAGCAGTGGTGCTTGTTTATGCCAACAAACAGGTGAAATCTAGGGTCTTGGCTCTATCAATATTCTTTTCGATCACTTTCTTGAGTTGCAAGTGCTGTTTAAACGCCGCCGTCCTTCCACCCATGTGTGTCTCCTAGGATATGCGCGAGTCACAAGTTAGTGCAGGTCTCAGACGCCTTAAGATTTCGAGTCGACTTAAGAAGCCATTCACCTTCTCTCTTTCCAATCCCTCTCGCTCACCCATCTCCACCCATATCCACCCACTTCCACTGTTCTGTATCGCTCAGGATCTGCCCGGAGCTATGAGTGAGGTGCAGGTGTCAGACGCGTTGGGGCTGCATAAGATCAAGAGCCGCCCGTGGGCCATCTACAAGACGTCAGCTGTTAAAGGCGATGGGCTGTTCGAAGGGCTGGACTGGTGAGAGCAGGGGTGGTTGGTGCATGGGTCGTGTTGCATGGCTCATGCTACATGGGTTGTCGCAATCGCTTTGGGGGGCTGCATAAGGTCAAGAGCCGCCCATGGGCCATCTACAAGACGTCAGCTGTCAAGGGCGATGGGCTCTTTGAATGGCTGGACTGGTAAGATTGACTGCTGGGTGGGTTGTGTTGCATGGGTCATGGTGCATGGGTCATGTTGGATGGGTTGTAGCACTTGCGTTGGGCCTGCACACAATCAAGAGCTGCCCGTGGGCCATCTACAAGACGTCTGCTGTCAAGGGCGATGGGATCTTTGGGCTCTTTGTAGGACTGGACTGACCTTCTCTCATACTTATCTCGGTCTGCTCTGCATGAGCCCATCATCCACCATTGCATGGTGCATCTTTGCATGCTGCATCTCTGCATGGTGCATCTTTGTATGGTGCATCCTTGCTTGCAAACACCGTCCGTGGTGCATGTTGTCTCTCATGGCTTCATGACATTTGTGTCTGCGCTGCATGAGCTCATCATCAACCATTGTGTGCTGCCACCTCTGTCCCTTGCGGCGTGCAGGCTGAGTGAAACACTCAAGTCTAAGGGCCGATGATTTGAGTGAAACTGATGTATCTTGATGCGATCGTATGCCGCGCTCGAGACATCTTTTCTAACTGACTGCGTCTGATGCAGTTGTGCTTCAGCCTCTGGAGAAAGTGATGCAGTGGTTGTTTAATGAGAAAAAGTCAAGGCTAGTATATGCGCCCCAGAATCAATCCCTTGGTGGAGCACTGGAGGGCGAGGTGCCACCGAAGCTGTTGACAAACATCCATGAAATGGATAAATATTTTCATTTTGCTGCATTACAATCTTGCTGATGGATTCCCAAGATGTGAATATAGATGAGATTGGATTCCAGAAACTGTACAATTGAATGAATGACAACCACGAGTGTTCATTGGCTTGTGACGAAGATTCACTTTTGAATGCTGATTGGCCAGATTTCTATGTCAATGCAGCGCCCATTGAAGCCTACGGCATGGCGGCAGAGATTGGGAGGAAACTGTACAGCACGCAGTTTGACTGTGCACACGTCAAGTCAAGGGCTGACATGGCGAGTAATAGATGATTCGCGGTAGCGACGATTACATTTCAGCCATAAGTTACAAATCCAGCATGATTTTTGGGTTGCGTAGCAACCCTATACATTTGGTAGCACTTTTCGGTCGACTCAAATGAACAGTACTGTTTTTGTCATTTTCCCAACGTCCGAATCCCTCGTTTCAACGTTTTGATAACGAGTGTTTCAAATGTGTGGAGATGACAGCACTGAACACGTAAGTCCCCAAAAAGATGAAACCAAATGTGACCTACCGTAATCACCCGGATATAAGACCCCCCCCCCAAGTTGTAGACCCCCGGGTATATAATACGGACGTGGGTCTTATATTTGGGTATGTTTTTGTTATACCCCCCTTTTTGGCTGAAAACATTATAAGACCCCCCACCTTCACAGCGAACGTGTGATTTTATGTCAAAATGAAGAATGGATGGTGCATTGATGTTGGTTGGGGTACATATAGCTAACCCTAAGTTTTGTACCCCCTAAGACAAACCTCACTATAGGCTACAACATTTGACACACCCCCATAGCCTAAGTGAGGGGTGTCTAGCAGAACCAAACGAGTACGGTCACAAGACCAGTCCAAGAAACAAAGCTCAGGGTGGATCACAACGTCACCACACAGTCTGAGCACAAACAACAGTGGCCACAAGGCCAGTCCAAGAAGTAACAGAGATATATAGAAAGCAAAGTAAACAGTACACTCAAGTCTAAGCAACACGAGAACCAGTGTCAACAAGGCCTAACTGCACACAGCACCTCTGGTGGTCACAAGGCGGAAGCGCCTTGGTGAAGATGTCTGCAGTGTTGGCCTCGGACTCCACAAACTCAAAGCGAGCCTGTCCACGCCTCTGCAACTCTCGCAGAAGAAAGTACCTGACGTGAATGTGCTTCACTCTGCTCTCCAGTCGTGGCTCTCGACAAAGGAGAATAGACGCCTTGTTGTCAGTGAACAAGGTCGGTGCAGAGCTCGGCCGCTCACCAAGGTCGGTGAGCAAGAAGGTCAACCAACGCAGCTCCTGTGCCGCCATGGCACCAGCGTAGATCTCAGCCTCAGCTGTAGAGGTCGAGACCGAAGAGGAGCGCGTGGACCGCCAGGAAACAGCTCCAGAACCCAGGCTGAAACAGTACCCCTGAGTAGACCTGTGAGTCTCAGCGTCGTCAGCGTAAGAGGAGTCACAGTGACCAGTAAGTACGACAGACTGCTGCCCTCCAAGAACTAGCCCCACGCCTGACGTCGTCGCTAGGTACTTCGCCACCCTCACAGCTGCTGTCCAGTGAACAGGACGGTGTCTCCCTGGCGCAACAAAGCGCGCAAGAACGCTGAGAGGGAAGGCGAGGTCCGGGCGAGTACAAGTCATCAGGTACATGAGGCAACCCACAAGCTCAGCGTAGGGACCACTAGGCTCGAACGGCTCGTCAGGAAAGGGTCCAGTGAGTCTGTGGTCAACAGCAAGAGGTGTGCGCTGTACTGTGGAGTGCTGAAGCCCGAACCGCTGAAGGACCTGCTGCACCATGTGCGACTGTGAAAGTGTAATGGTGCGAGCAGCTCTGTCCCTGGTGATCTGCAGGCCAAGGTAGTGGCGCAGCTCACCAAGATCAGTGCAGGTGTGTCTCTTCTGCAGTTCGGACTTCACGTGTGCCAAAGCAACCCTGTCAGGGGTGGCGAAAACAAGGTCGTCAACGTAGACCAGAACAAAGAAAGGTGTGGTGCCACGACGAACGAACAGCGACGGGTCAGCAGAAGACGGCTGGAACCCAAGGTCAGACAGGGTAGAACGCAGGGTGTCGTGCCACTCACGAGGAGCCTGACGAAGACCGTAAACCGGTCGCCTCAGCCTCCACTGGGTCCCAGGAGGGAAAGAGCCAGTGAAGGCAGAGGGACGACGCAACCAGACCTCCTCGTGAAGACTGCCCTGAAGGAAAGCAGTGGAGAAGTCGAGAGAGTGTAACTCGTAGTCTCTCTGTGCTGCTACGTGTAGTAACACCCGAAGAGTGGTCATCTTCGGGGTGGGCGCGAAGGTCTGAAAGAAGTCAACTCCCTCGCGCTGACTGAAACCTCTAGCCACGTAGCGCGCCTTGAAGACCGGAGGAGATCCCGGTGGCCGCTTCACCCTGTAGATCCACATGCCGTCGACTACGTTCGCCCCCGGAGGGGGAACCTCATCGACGTAGGTGCCTGTGGATCTGTAGGAGGCCATCTCTGCGTCCATGGCAGCTCTCCACTGAGAGGCCCAAGGCCCTGACACTGCCTCAGCGTAAGTGCGAGGAGTCGGAATGTCAAGGGCGTCGGGGTCACCCTCAGGGGCGAGGAGCATGGCACAGAGATGAGGGGAAGCGGCCGCCAGGAACTCTAGCTCAAACTGCCTGTCCTCTAGGGCGTCACAGCCAAGGGCAGACACACCCCCGACGGCCAGAGGACTGGAAGGAGGAGCAGCCACAAGAGCGGTGGCGAAGTCAAGGCGGCGGGTAGAGGCAAACTCAGTGACTGCGGCAGTAAGAGCGGACACAGAGGACACAGAGGCACGAGGGTGAGTAACAAGGGAGGCGAGAACACGAGAGAGAAGAGGACGGTACGTGCGGTAGTAGTCAGTGACAGGAGTAGGGAGCGACGCAGTGAGAGCCGACTCAGGAGGAGACGGAAGCACAGACGGAGACGGACGAGGTGGACTAGAACGAAGTAAGGCAGTACGAAGGTCAGTGAAGGGAACAGGAGACGAGGGACGAGCACGAGGGGAGCGACGAGAGGCCCAAGTCTGAGAAGGAGGAGGGGACAACGAAGACTGAGAACGAGGGAAAACAGCGGGAGAGGGGTCAGGAGGAGGAAGCGGAGGACCAGAGACGGGAGGAGAGGGGGAGGAGGAAGGAGAGGGAGAGGGGAGACCAAGGGTCCGAAGACCCGAGACAGGAGGAGGAGACGGCAGCTGCTGCTGCTGCGGCTGCTGCGGCTGCTGCGGCTGCTGCTGCTCCAGCGGCTGCTGCCCCTGCTGCTGCTCCTGCTGCTGCTCCTGCTGCTGTCGCTCCTGCTCCTCGAGCCGCTGCAACTCTCGCTCCTCTCTCTCTAACTCCAGCTGCTCCTCACGAGCACGGCGAACACGAGCCTGGAACCTGGTCGGGTAGGGGTGGGGGGAAGGAGTAGTGTCCGGGGCAGCGGCAGCCCCAGAGTCGACCTCCGAAGCACCAAGCACACCACCCCCAGAGGCAGCACCAACACCAGCTCCAGACCCAGGCTCTCCAGAAACCGAAGGAACACCCTCACCCCCAGACGCAGCACCAGCACCCCCAGACTCCGCACGACCAGTACCAGCCCCCGGAGGAGAAGAGTCCTCTGCAACCCGCGGCTCAGCTCCAACTCCAGCACCCCCAGAACCAGAGACCTGTACAGGGACAGTCGCAGGACCAACCTCCCGAGAGGGAGCACCTACAGGAGGCGGTGAGGAAGACTGTGGGGAGGGAGGCTGTACAGGGGGGGCTACCGAAGGGGGAGGGCTAGCCTGAGACACACCAGACGGGGCTGGACCAGGGGGGGGAGGCTGTACCGGGGGAGCAGGCGGGGGAGCGGCGGTCAGGAAGAGAGGGGGGAGGAGAAACCGGGAGACCTCGACTGGGGTACCTGACGTAGTACGGGGTGGACTCCTCGAAACGGACGTCACGGGAGTCAAAGAACCGGTGAGAGGGAGGGTGGTAAAAGGTGAAGTCAGAGGAGTCCTCAGGGAAACCAAGGAAAACACAAGGAACGGCGCGAGGCGAGAGCTTGTCCGCGGAGGTGTCGCGGACAAGAGCCAAGCACCCCCAGACACGAAACCTCGACGCGACACCAGGGGACCCTGTCCAAAGACTGGTCGGTGAAGCCTCCGGCCGAGAGACGCGTGGCCAGAGGTTCAGCTGGTGCGCGGCGTACCTGACCGCGTATGGCCACAGGAAATGGGGGGCACGGGCGTGAGTCAAGGAGGTGCGGGCAATCTCCATGACCAGGCCTATGCGACGCTCAGCAACCCCATTCTGCTGTGGGGACTCCGGAAGCGTCCAGGACTGACGAATGCCCTGTTCGCGACAGAATCCAGCGAGAATGCCGGAGCGAAACTCGCCCCCGCGGTCGGAGTGGAGACAGCTGACACGACGACCACGAGTGTCCTGGGTGGTAAGCAACCACCTGATCAGCGTAGAAGTCACCTCAGACTTCCTCGCCAGGGGGAACACTGTGGTGTAGCGGGAGTAGTCGTCAACGACCACCAAAAAGAAACGCTCACGCTCAGGGCCAGGGCGAGGAGAGGGGCCCCAGACGTCCAAGTGCAGCGTCTCAAAAGGCTCGGTGGCCGGACGAAGGGAGGAGGAGTGAGGGGTGGCACGCAGCCTACCCTCGACGCAAGGACCGCACGGTGGTGCAAGGGACGGCGGCAGCGACGGCAAGACACGCGGGAGACCTAAGACTAGACGCTGACTAGACATAGCACGCAGACGTGGAAGAGAAGGGTGTCCCATCCGGTGGT